ATTTTTTTTTTAAAAGCTATCCCTGATTTTCGGAACTTTTTGTCTATTTTACCATTTTCTCGCATGGCATTTTGGAGAAGAAATTATCAACTTTATTGTTTTTGTAATGAAGTAGTTCATCTTTTATTAGCCTATTACAAATCGGTCGAATTTGACATTTGATATCACGTGAACTAAATGTGGACCATATTCATATGTAGGTACTGAAATTCCTGTTTTGACGGCTAGATGTCGCTCAACGTTAAGAAACAGATCGTTGTAGATAATTAGTCCGGTTACATCCTGCATACTAAATCTATGGGTTACATACTAATTAGTCATTACAGTTTCTTTTTTAAATGATTTTATTTCTAGACTTAGACGCTATTATATTTGAAAAATCTAATGAATTTATTTTTTTCAAACTTGTAATTAAGGCATTTAAAGACGCTAACGAATTCTTTTAAATACGAATTTGCCATTGTTCTTTCTGTCTAATTTAAAAAAACTAACTACCCCACTATGTACTTGTAAGCTTATGACTTGCTTGTACGTAAAGATTTTTATTTTTAACATTTGCTACATTGTAGTTACACCTTTAATAACATTTTCGCCATCTGATAATTTAAATTGATTTTGTAATTTGTTCAATTGATTAACCGATTCACCATCAGGATTGTTACTTTGAAATAGGATAATCAATAGAGAGCCAAATGTTTTTAAAAGTGTGTATCCTGATCGTTATTTCTAAAATTATTGGTTGTCGGTTGTAAGAAAGTGTTCTATTATGATTTATGTCTCAATAAAAAAATCTTAGTTAAAAAAACAGTGTTGCAGCCATAGATTTAGTATATAGGTACCATGGTTGCAGCCATGTTGCAGCCTAATTTGTTAAACAATGCGTTGATGAACTGCCCCTAAATACGAGTGTTTTTCTGTTTTTGTTACACAAAAAATTGAAAACAAAAAGGGTAAAATAACGAAATGTGTTTTATTTTACAATTTATTTATCTAATTAATACAGCCTAGGGGCCGTAAAAATATACTAATTGGCTGTCACTGCGCTTTCGCATAAAAGCCATCACTATTTAAAAAAAAACAGAACGGTCATGTTCAGTTCAAGTTGCTCATACGTGGGACCCCTGGGACTAGCGAGGGTCGTATTCTAGAACTCTGCTCAATGCTCAAGTCAGGATTTGAGGATGCACATTTAAAGCACTCGAAATCATACTCAAGTCCTTGCCATTAGGGTCGTATTTCCATTGCTTGATATCATACTCAAGTCTTGTTTGAGCATTGAGTAGAGTTGTGGAATACGACCCTGAGAGTCGTATTCTAGAACTCTACTCAATGCTCAAGTCAAGATTGCAATGGAAACACAAGCACTGGAAATACGACCCTAATGGCAGGGACTTGAGTATGATTTCGAGTGCTTTAAATGTGCATCCTCAAATCCTGACTTGAGCATTGAGTAGAGTTCTAGAATACGACCCTGGGTCTCTTTCATCGCTACCTGGGACCCACTGGGCCCTGATTTTAGTTGAAATTGGAATCGATCCAATCGGGTAGCCCATCCGCAATATTATACGCCTCGACTCGGAAACGACGCAGTTTCCGATCAAGCAGGTCGAACCGTACGATAACTCTGTTGTCGACCGATTCGATTAGATATCGTACGATGTCTTTTCATTTTTATTCACAATTACCGAATGGAACGTCAAACTGTCGTTTTCGAGACCGAACCGAAATGACGTCACACCCGTACGATTACTCTAACTCCTCGACCGGCAAACGCTACAAACGTTATTCAGAACACAGTTAACGAACGAACGACAGTTTGACGTTCTATTCGGGCGTTGTGAATAAAAATAATAGAAATCGTACATCAAATCGAATTGATCGACAACTGAGTTATCGTACGGTTCTGAATCGACCCACAGCCCAATGCTCCATCGAACATTTTTATAGTATCATAGAGTACATTGAATATAGGTACTTAGTATGTAACGTGTTTTAATGTTCTAAATGCAGGATGAAAACTACCGTGTGCCAATTTTGTATGGTTTTGGAGAAAACTTATGTACCTACGTACTTCAAAGTTCATCGATTTTATACTTAGACATTTCAAAAATGATTAAAACTCATTGAATAATAATAACATTAATATAGTTAGTAACATGACATTAAAAGGAATTTAAAACTCTATTTATTGGGCTTTATTGTTTTGCCGAAATGTAAGCGAAGAAGAAGAACATCGAATATTTCCTTAATTTTAAGTTATCGTAATTTAAGTAACTTTTAAGTAATTTATATAATACGAACATCTTGCTTCAACCACGACAGGAGACTGCAACACCACTGGCCCTATGACCATCTCACCCTTGATTTCATGATCTGCATACAGATCCAGCATCTGTATTGTGTGTTCTTCTGCAGCACCAACTGGCTCTTGTTTGATGTCGTTTTCTAATTCGTTTGCTTCCTCCTTAACATTCACAATATCTTGTAGATCCATGTGTGACATTGTTAGCTGTTACTGACAATTTAATTGTATAGGTACTTAATATTGTAATGTAATAAAATACCTACACCTGAGTTGAGAAAGTAATTAAATGAAATTAATATGGTGACTATGTTACATGATTACATAGTTAGTAGTCTAATCCTAAAATATTAACTTACCGAAATTCGTAGTTTTGACAATAAAAATTAATCGAAAAACGAAAATAAATGCATGGATACTATTCTCACAAAAAAAACAGCTGTTGGTGCGTATCTCTTATTAGTGTGTGCTTAGAATAATAACGAAGAGTGTGTGTATCTCTTATTAGTTGTGGTTAGTGCCGTGAGATACCGGAGCTACGCTCGTCTAAAGCTTTTAAATTCAGAACGCCTGAAATTTTATTGGAAGCTAAATAAAATAAATAAACACTGTCTGTCTGTTACGTTTTAACACCGTAACTGCTAAACCAAATATAAATATTCTGTAATGCAAGTGGTAAAAAACTGACATAACATCATTCAAAACTACCCCTAAATATGGAGGAAATGGGATATTAAAGAGGGAACGCTTGGTGCGATTTGCTTCAAACTTGGATACTTGTAAAGAAAGTGGGACGTTTTCATTCTAGTTTCTTGACTTTTTTTTCTTATTTCTCTTGGCTTGTCTTGGTAAGCGTTTCAGCCACTTAGAAAGTGTTTTGACTAACATGAATTTAATATCATGGAATGTAATTTGGAAAAAAGTGATCAGGCGAGGAATTATGAGATGTAAATAAACAAACAGTATAAATATTATATTATTAGCAGCTAAAATGTCGCGGTTAGCGTTTTTTTTTTTTTTTTCGTGTTTTTCGCGGTTAGCGTTTCAGCCGCTAGCAGAGTGTTTTGACCATATATTTAGTATATAGTTTTTTCCATAAGATAGGTAACCATAGATCGGCCCTGAAGTATTTATAGACGAGACCAAAACAAAAATACATCTGTGTGCGTGTAATTGTAATTTTCAGGTAAGTTTTTTTTTGTACTCAATTTTGGTGACAATTTTTATTATTTTGATTACTCGAATATAAAATATTAAAGAATATTTCAGGTTACCACGCTCGAATATTAAATAGTACTTCATAATAATATTCTATAAATATTTAAATTAAAGAAATTGTCACCAAATTTGAGTACAAAAAACTTACCTGAAAATTACCCTAAATGTGCCTGTGTGCAAGATTAATAAGTGTTGCGAAATGCACTGGCTCGATTAACATATTATCATTTCACTGTGTCGTATTCACCAAAATAATTAGGATTCTCGCGTGAGCGACTGAGATGCCAACAGCGCAACCCGAGTTAGAATACTGAAGTGAAGTATGTATGGTCAGTGTTGGGCATTAATCAATTAAATTTCAATCAAATTAAAAAATCAATTCAATTGAAATCAATTGCAATTGATTTTAATTGCAATTAAATTAATAGCAATTAATTTTTTAAGTTGTTCTAAGAAACAACTGAAACTACCAGTTAAAACCGAAAGTACCGAATAAAAGTGTCATTACGAATATGGGTTAGGGGTGTGTTAGGGGGTCGTTGGGGACTTCCGAAACTATCGTAGATACAGTTTTATTTTGTAAATACAATTTTGGCATAGTAAAGTTTTTGGTCAAGCCTAAGTTGTCCATAATAATGAATAAAATTGATCAATATTTTTCGTGCTGATCGACTAAGTAACATCTAAAAATTGTATGGTATGAAAAAAATCTGGACTGCAGAAGTTGGTTAAATTTCACAAAATGTTTTTTTCGTACAAAATGAATAAATTTTACTAATTTTCTTAGTGCTGATAGACTCGGTATCCTATAAGGATGATTTCATTGTATTGGAAGAAAAGAATCAGCACATCAGAAGTTGGTCAAATTTAATAAAATGTTTATTATGTTGTAAAAAACATTTTATGAAATGTTACCAACTTCTGCTGTCTCGATTTTTTTCGTCCCATACATTGATCTACCAACAAAATGGTCTCATACAATGAAATCATTACTTAAATCAATTTTATTCATTTTATGGACAACTCACGCTTGACCAAAAAAATTGACTAAGCCAAAACTATCTAAAAAAAAGTTTCTTTGAATCTCCTACGGTTTCAGATTTCTCCATTACAGATTTGCAAATAGCACATATGTACAGTTCTCTATTTTTAAATGCTTTAAAACTTTTTGAGGAAAAGGTTTGTGACAGTGGTTACAATATATCAGTTAATGGTTAGTGATCAGGAGCATAGGACCCGAATAAAGCCACCTAATAATAATAATACAGTGGTCACATTTAAAGTTTCTCTTCAATGTGGGCCATTGCATTTATTGCAAATATCACACTCTTATGATTTCTTACTAATACAGGTCATCATAAAGACACTTAAGCACAAATTTCTCATTAAACATTTTATTGCAGATATCACACATGTATTATTTAGTTTTACATTCCCCTTTTCTAGCAACTTGTTTCACATGTAAAATAGGCGCCTTGACGTCAAATTGCGGATACCAGCCCGTTACACCAAGTATCAAGTTCTCTCCAGTATGAGTTCTTCAATGCATAATATAACTTGATTTATAGACAAACTTTGTTATGGAGATCACATTTTGTATCGTTTGTTACTATATGACGCTTCAAGTAATATTCTGATATAAAACATTTTTTGCAAATAACACATTTGTATGGTTTTTCACCAGAATGCACCATAATGAGTTTTGAGATCCCCTTTTCTAATAAAACATTCATTGCAAATATCACACTCATATGATTATTCTTCTGTATGAATTCTTAAATGTTTATTATAATTGTATTTAGAAGCAAAATCTTAGTTACAATGGTCCGGTATGGACCATTATATGAGTTTTAAGATCCCCTTTTCGTATAAAACATTCATTGCAAATATGACACTTACATGATTTCTCTCTTGTATGAATCCTTAAATGTTTATTGCAATTGTATTTAGAAGAAAAACCTTTGTTACAATGGTCACATTTATATCGTTTTTCACCAGTATGGACTATTATATTATGAGTTTTAAGATTCCCTTTTCTTACAAAACGTTCATTGCAAATATCACACTGATATGGTTTCTCTCCTGTATGAATCCTTAAATGTGTATTAAAATTGTATTTAGAAGCAAAACTTTTGTTACAGTGGTCACATCTGTGTGGTTTGTCACCAGTATGGACCATTATATGAGTTTGAAGAACCCATTTTCTCACAAAACATTTATTGCAAATATCACAAGTGTATGGTTTCTTTCCTGTATGAATCATTAAATGTGTATTTAAATTGTATTTAGAACTAAAAACTCTGTTGCAGTGATCACATTTGTATGGTTTTTTTCCTGAATGAATAATTAAATGTGTATTTAAATTGCATTTGAAAGTAAAAACTTTTTTACAGAGGTCGCATTTGTATGGTTTCTCACCAGTATGGACCATTATAACATGACGCTTAATGTGAGCCTTTGATCTAAAACATTTATGACAAGTATCACATTTATACTGTTGTTTCTTTACTGTCCGAGTGTTTAAATTTTTATTACGACGTGCTTTACTGGGGAAAGTTTTGTCAGATTGTTCATATTGATTCGGCTTCTCTCCAGTACAAGTTATTTTATGACGCTTTAGATGGTATTTCCGTGTATAACGTTTAGTGTTGGTGTTTAGAATATCAGCGTTCAACCCATCAGATGTGCTCTGTACGTATCTTGTTCGATCTAACACAGGAGGCTGCAACACCACTGGTCCTATGACCAATTCTTCCTTGATTTCATGATCTGCATAAAGTTCCAGCTCCTCCATTTTCCTTTGCTCTTCTTCCACAACACGCTCTTGTTTAATATAGACATTATTCGTATTTAAATCCAAAGAACTTTTGTCTTGGCTTGCATCTACCTTAATGTTCATAATGGCTTTTTTTATTATAGGTGTTCATAATAAAGTATGATTTCTTTTTTCTTGGCCATTCGTGCTCGTAGGAAGATAAGATAATTCCTATTCGACTCTATCAAATGCACGTAATCATAGACTAAGTAAAGGAGAAGATACTCACAGACTACCTTAGAGGATGGAAAAGAAATAGTCTAAGCAGACTACAGAAGATAGTAAGTAAGATACTCGTACGTATTAATTTGTAGAGTTCTATTAGTATTTTCTTTATGGTGGCCACTAGTTTTTTATAGGCTTGTGCCAGTATCAGTTTTTAGGATTAATATAAAAATTATGCATCGCCAGTGTCGGCAACAACAGAAAACAGAAACAATAGATTCTTCTTTGTAAAGTTATAGCTCTGTTGATACAATCGACGATTCCGCCAAACAATCTCCCACTTCAAAGGTACTCTTTGATTTCACTCGATCATACTTTTTGTATTCTATTTTTAAGTTTCTGGCTTCTCTTGTAGAATTTTGCCAATGTCATGACAGTCATGGGTGTTACACTTTCGTTTTTTAGATGTTTAATAATTAACACTGCTCTTTAGTCTATTCGGGCTTCTGGAACAATACAGAACAACACGATATACCATCACCGTTACAAATTTAATTAATAAATAAAATAAGTTTTATAATTTAAGTTTGTTAGTACTAATAAAATCAGTTATTAATTCTAAGAGAGTGTTTGTAAAAACATATAACAGAAACTTGAAATTTACGGGGCGACGAATAGAAGGTCGAAGACTATCATAAATAGTACACGTTCTGGTAGGGCAGCTGAAAAATATGTGGTCTTTGGTGCCTTCATCCAGGACGCATTCACAAATTGAGTTATCCCCTATTCTAAGTTTTGCCAGGTGGACCGGGGTGCAGGCATGACCAATTCGAAGTCGACATACTGTAAACGTAACAATCTTACTAAATCTTTTATGGATAACGAACCAAGGCTTTTTGGGGATACTTGTTTGGATGTCGGCGAAATATTTGCCCTTAGTGAGTTTGCTTTTGCTCCACTCTGCGCTCCATGAGGAAAACATATCATTGGCAGCTAAAGGCAGGAGGTCATAAGTGTACGTCTTGTAATGAGTAAGACAACCTGTTTGGATAGCATTTTTCGCCAACTTGTCTGCAGTTTCGTTACCTTGGACCCCACAGTAACCAGGTACCCACGCTAACACAACTTGTAAATTGTTACGATGACATTGGTGTAAAACTTCCTTGATCTTTAGGATAGTATGGTATTTTGTTTTAGCAACAAATTGGTTTGACAAAATAGCCTGCAAAACAGCTTTTTGAGTCAGAAAAACTTGTGCTTTTGTTCAATTTGTGAGATTCAATATAGCTGAGGTCTTCGAGCAGGGCTGTAGATTCACCTGTGAATATTGATGCTTGAGGTGGACACTTACAATTCAAAATTATTTCGGACTTAGGGATCCATACAGCCGCACCCACACAACAATCAGCAGCCAGCTTAGAAGCGTCTATGCAAATAGTCAACCAGGGTTGCCAGTCTTTAGTAGGAAGATAAGATAATAAGAGTGTGTTTACTCGGCTTTATTAAACTGCCTGTCTACCGCAGGAGAATCTTTGTAAATATCAAAATCCAAGATTATTTTAGGTTTATATATTATTGCGTCATAGGGACAAGAAAAAAAGGGGATTTTTATCAGTTTGGAAGATAGGAAGTCAAAGTCAAAAATAATTTATTCCATAGGTAAAATAAATTTACACTTGAAAACGTCACATTTACATTACATTACATTAATAATAAAATTGGAATTAGTATTATAAGTTTTCATGGCATATAGCTCATACAAACGAGACCTACTCTTATGAATACCTACCGTTGCCCAGTCGTTGAATTTAGTCTCTCTATGGAAAATTAATGTTTTCGACTTAAATACATTATCAAATTACTTTTAATTAATTAAGCCAAATATCGTGCTATAGTATTTGGAACCTCCGGTATATGGGGTAGGGAATTTAAAGTGTTGCCGATATTATTTTGAAATCTAATGATGCGTTCTATGGTAATCGGCAGTGTTGCGCGTTAATCTAAAGACAAAATAAAGACTAAATAATTAATTGCTTTAATTGCAATAAAAATCAATTGCAACGTCGCCATTAATTTTAATTGAATTGATTTTAATTGCAATTATTTTTAATTGTCCTAAGAAACAAGTGAAACTAACAATTAAAACCGAAACTACCGAATAAAAGTGTCATTACGAATATGGCACTCATTTCTAAGTCCAAAATGGCGGGCACAATTTCTCAAATAATGGGGAGTAAGTAGGCAATGAGTGGGGAATGAGTGGGGCGTGAGTAGGGAGTAAGCGAGTGAGTGCCTCCGTGGTCGAACATACCATGGGCAATATAGTATTAGCTGAACACTCACGGTCCCACCATGGAGGACAAGAAATAAGGCTACGAGATAGATTTTTAGGGGCGATTGAAGACCTTTCGGAAGAATAGACAGACGCTACAAATCTGGAGTAAGCTTCTTGTAAAGGTAAATCTCCAATGTGGGACAGAGAATGCAGCTCTGAGTCTTAGGGTGGTATTCTAGAACTCTACTCAATGCTCAAGTCAAGATTGCACTGGAAACACAAGCACTGGAAATACGACCCTAATGGCAGGGACTTGAGTATGATTTCGAGTGCTTTGAATCATACTCAAGTCCTGGCTTGAGCATTGAGTAGAGTTCTGGAATACGACCCTAAGTATTGGCTATACTTAGCCCAGTCAGCCTTAGAAATAATGAATTTTAACAATGAAGAGTGTTGCCTTAGTGGAGTGCAACTGCCAATCACAGAGATGAGGATGGGAAAATGGTCACTTCCGAAAGTGTATGGAAGAGTCCTCCAAGTAGAGCTGAGTGCTCGGCCTGGAGACCTCAAAGTAATATTCACAGCTCGTCTTGAATCCTGAGAAGGATAAGATCTGCGAGTAGGAGAGCTATCATTCAGAAAACATCAAAAACGTCTAACAGAAGATATAAGAGTGCATCATTTCTATGGGAGCCCCAAACAGTGTGGTGGCTATTAAAGTCACCAAAGACCATGACGGGAGAGCTGATTGCTGAAAATGGAAGATTGATGTCAGGGATGAGAGAATCTCTCATCCCTGACATATAGCTATATAGCTAAGAATGAAATATTAAAATCCTTAATTGCAACACATTGACTTACAATTATATGGACGTCGGGTCCGCGCTAAAAACTGTCCGAACTTATAGGGCGTTAAAATCGTATACAGAGCGTCATTCACGCTTTGTTCTTCGTTTGTTCGACTGACAGCGAAGCAAGCAAAATTAGACAGTGCTGCGATGACATTACAATTTAAATTCAACGTTTTAGCTTTTTCATATTCCTTTACATGTCACTACGTTTAAATAGATTGACTTGGGACATTTTTTTCGTGGTTTTTGTATTAGACCCGTCGTCCATTTATTTGTAAGTCAATGTTGCAACAGCATTGATTTCATCAGTACTGTGATCAGGGAGGGATAACAGTGAAAAATAACAGAATGTTTGACTAAAATTAGAGTACCTGCATACCCATATGCACGATCCTCCCGAATACATGAGTAGCCCGGAATCCGGAATCGGGAACCCGGAAGCAGCCATGTTTCCAAGAGGATGATAATAACAGGATTGTGTTTATTAATAAGGAATATAAGTAGGAAATGAAACTATTTTGCCGGATTTAAATCGCGTATACTTGTTTTTTCAAACAAACCGACGTTTCGGGCCCTTTACAGGTACCATGGTCACGGTTGACTGTGTCGGTTTGTTCGGTGTATCGACTAACAATCGTGAAAACCTAAGAACTCGATAAGGAATATAAGGTCAGACTTTTTAGTTCTAACACTCTGACAGTTCTATTGCAGGATGAACAGGTCCATTATTAAATTTGTTAAGAAGAGAAAGTTTGTTACGCACGTGGAATGGTAAATCAGTGTCATCAAAGCGGGACAGAATATTTAGAAGAATAGAGACTAGTAAGTCAAGAAAATTGTCATTGTTATTGGATGTATTAGTGTTATTTAGCAAAGCAGAACCATTTAGGGAACAGGGAGGGGAATTGCAATTACATTCCTATGGGCTTGTTTATCATACGGTGAGATTTGACGATGGGACTTTGGTTTATTATTTATTGTGACAGTTTTTGTGTGTGAAGTGGTGACTGGGGAGGAGGAGGGTTGTGTAGATGACAGTGAGACATATGACAGTTGTGTAGATGCAGATGCAACATCAGCAAATGAACGCCTGACAGCTGGGAAGCGGGCAGAGGCTTCTAATTAGGACATATTCTCTTGGGAAATTACCAATTTTATTGATTTTTGTTGGGAAAATTCAGGGCAATTTTTGTCACTGGATGGATGTAAGGCCGAATAATACAGGCATCTTGGGGTAGAAGCATTACAAGATTCCCCTGAATGGGGTTGTGCGCATCTGGAACACCGGGGTTTAGACCGGCATTGAGCTTTGACATGCCCAAAACAACATTTCAAGCACTAAATGGTGGGGAGTAGATAGTTGTCCACAGGGAGAGATAATGTAAACATTGTGGGACAGGGATTGACCAGAAAAGGTAACTACTACTGATTGGGTGGGAATCCACTTGATCAAATTATTGTATGTCACTTTCCTGTTCAGGCGTTGGGCTTTTGAGAATTTCACCATTACCAGAAGGTAAAACTAAACTTTCTACTAACTCGTCCATAGTTAGGTCATTTGGCACACCTCGAATGACACCCCTATACTCAGCCTGACCAATGACTGGGTTTTGCACAAAATTATTTGCTTCATGTGCTGATCTGACTGAGCAAATTCCATAGACTGTCTATTGCGGCCTACGGACTTAAGGCTGCCGTTTATTATGTTCTTATTATTGTTATTGAAAAGAAATAAGCCAAACTTGACAGGTCTCAGTGCCAAATCACTATCTGGAGCAGATTCCAAACGTGAA